AAAAAAAAAAAAAAAAAAAGAGAGCTGCTAAACTGCTGCCCTAGGAATTTTCAAATTAGCTGTGAGGTTGGAAAAAAAAAAATCTATTTACTTGGTTCTCTATGATAATGAGACTTTAACATGATGCAATCATAGGCTTCAGATTTATCTTAATAATGAAATTAAGGTGGAAAGTGCAGTGGCAAGAAGCCTGGACTGATAGAAGACTGAAGAAGACTGACAAATGGCTGGGCGCAGTGACTCACGCCTATAATCCCAGCACTTTGGGAGGCTAAGGCAGGCGGATCACCTGAGGTCATAAGTTTGAGACCAGCCTGACCGACATGAAGAAACCATGTCTCTACTAAAAATACAAATTAGCTGGGCGTGGTGTCGCATGCCTGTGATCTTAGCTACTCAGGAGGCTGAGGCAGGAGAATCGCTTGAACCTGGGAGGCGATTAATAAAATAAATATTATAAAATAAATAAATAATATAAATATTATAAAATAAAAAATAAAATAAAATAAAATACAAATAAAATGAATGGCTCAATCAGTAATTATCAAGGGAAGGTGTATCAGACTCTGAGGATGCTATTTTTTCAAACTCTGTATTTGTTCTCTTGCTTCCCCTGAAGACACTGATATATTCCCTCCCAACCCACCTGCCTTGAGAATTAGTACATGTAATAGGACCCATTGCTGATGGCAGCAGGTTACACTTGTAAATGCCGTGATGATATGGATAGAAAAGGTCTGAAACACCACTGGACTGAATTACCTTTAAGATATATAATTACCATTCAGGTATAATCTTAAGACTGAAATCATAAAAAAAAAAAAGAAGAAGAAAAAAAGATACAAAATTACTATCAAAGATGGAACCATTCCAATCATACATGCATTATAAGCTGGCCACTTCTCTTCCCTTTCCATCAGGTACTCCAGACTTTTGTGTACCAGGGCAAAAAGAGTGAATGGAAAAGCACCTGGTGCTCAGGCTGAGCTACATTCTCCCTCAAGGTCAGCAGCAGCTCTGGGTCTGCTTGTTTATCACCTGGCAACATGCGTTAACAATTCCATAAGCTAGTGCCCTGGGCCATACCATCGAAGATGAAATCCATGTATTTCACCCTTTAGAAAAACCCTAGGAGGGCAATTTATGTGAACCACTTTTCTAATTCAGAAGCAGTAAGGGAGGCCTGCCCAGTGAAATTCTTGCCAAGAGAATAAGGAGGTTTTATTTTTTGATCTAGCGACTTGAAGAAACCTGCTACATTTTTTGGATTCAAGCAAGTGTTCTTTAAACATGATCTATTTGTTTACCTTGTAGCCAAACAGAAAGAGTCCAAAGAAAAGGCTGTAGAGGTCCGCTGTCAGGATGCCCAGGTTGACGGAAGTGGCACTAGTGACTTTAATCACCAATGGCATGAAGCTGTACAGGCAAAACATACACAGGGCAAATGCCATGAACAGCAGGGCTGCGAAAAACAAAAAGGAATATCTGATATGAGAGCAAGAAATCAGAAGACAAAGGAGTTTGAGGCTTCGCTGCCATATAAAACTCCCTAACCCTTTAACATATTATCTACAAAGCCCCCTGTTAACAGTCAGCATTGCAAATGAGACCATAAAGCTCTCTGGAAAAAACAATATTCATAGTAGCTTGTGATGTAGATAAAGGACCTCAAAAATCCAACAAGGTATTAGGTTAGCAAGGCCAGAAAATCCTGCTTATGGTGTGACTGAGTCCATAGCTCTTATACCCCTCCCTATACATCCTCCCAGGACAGAGTGATGCCTGCGATAAACGGCCAATAAAGGCAGAATCAACAACTCGTGTCAAAAAAAATCATTATTTTTTCCTTGCTTTTGTTTGGTTGGATATGATTTATATAATTGGATTCAGAATAAAGTATCTTTAAAGACATCAAAGACAGTTATTAGGTCTACTGTATTTTGTTCATCTCATTAAATTAAATGCTCCAAGGAAGCACAATATAATTATCCTATTTAGGACAGTGCTCACGGGATGGATGTTGACTACATTAGCAGTAGCTCTGCTTTGCAACCACTTCTTTAATCTCATCCCATACTCAATTCTCTCTCTCTTTCTCTCTGTGGCAATCTAAGTTATTTCATTGAATTAAATTATCAAGCATGGTAGACAATCTTCAGTGACACCTATGTACTATTTAACTTTTCCACACCCCAGCATTAAACCAGGTTCAAATCTTTTCTAACTGTCCCATCACCATTTTCTTTTCCTTTATTTATTTATGCAGATGCCTAGGAATATCAGATGACAGGAGCAATGGGAGGTGGGGGAGATTCCACACCATCAACAATTCAGATTAATGCTTCACAATTTATATCAAGCAAACAAACTTCATGAGAAGTTTGAGGACTCAAGATACAGATCTAATTTGAAAGCTGGTTTGGGCTGGGGACAGTGGCGCAGGCCGGTAATCCCAGCACTTTGGGAGGCTGAGGCGGGTCGATCATGAGGTCAGTAAATTGAGACCATCCTGGCCAACATGGTGAAACCCCATCTCTACTAAAAAAATACAAAAATTAGCTAGATGTGGGGGCTGGCACCTACAGTCCCAGCTACTCGGGAGGCTGAGGCAGGAGAATTGCTTGAACCCAGGAGGTGGAGGTTGCAGTGAGCCAAGATCACACCACTGCACTCCAGCCAGGCGACAGAGTGAGACTCCAACTCAAAAAAAAAAAAAAAAAAAAAAAAAAAAAGCTGCTTTGACCAAAGTTCAATTTCCAGTCTTGTTCAGGATTCCTAGTAACCAAAGGCTATTTCTACAGGTAAAGATTAAGAATTAACTTTTATGGAAGTTTACCAATTTTCAGAGAAAACTCAATGTAAACAATTATAGCTGACATGTATTAAATCACTCTGGGATTTTACAAAGATGTCTAAATATTAAAATTATTAAAATACATTTTAATAAATGTATTTTGTATTTTATATGCATTTTACAAATGCATATAAAAATGCACATATTCCTAGATGTTCATTTGTTAGATAAAGGAAAGAATGCTGACTAAAAGGAATTATGATTTCTTTACATACCAATTTTCCAGTCCCAGGGAATGCGGGCAATATCCTTATATTCCACAATCAATCTAAGATTAAAACAAGAGGTCACAGAGAGATCCACATACTGATTTTCACTATTTTGTAAGCATTTTAGTTACTATACTTCAGCTAAAGTGAGGAATTATGTTGACTTTTGAATTTGTCTTAGAATATAAACATAATTATCTTTAATAAAAATGACAAAGAATAAAAACAAAGAAGCTCATAAAGATATGTTTGACTCCCTTAAAAGTACTCTGTAGTAGTAGTCAATTATAGGAGGAAAAATATGATATTATGCTTTGTTTTTTAATAAGCATAGGAAGCTAATGTTTTCTGGAAAAAACTAAAACATAAAACTCCTTACTGGTAAATGCCTTTACCACATTGTTATCAGGAACCCATAAGCATCACGCATGTTTAGGAAAATAAGGAATAATTATTGTTTTAACAATCCTCTAATAGACACTCAGTAAGTGAATAGGTAATGGCAACACCACAGTTACTCTTGCACCAACCTAATATTAATTTCAAATGTAAATATGGGCCAAATAAACAATGAATATTAGTAGTTATCATCTGTAATATATTTACTTTGTTTTTAGAAAAACTTTTAGAATCTTACAGCTGTATGCCACTGATAATTGTTCCAAACAGGCCCACCATTCCCAAAAACTCCTGTCTGCTCAGCTTCTTCACTATGTATTCTTCACAAACATTAGAAATGGCATAGAGGGAAGCCCCAAGAAGGACCAAGATGTCACCAATCAATACATCACTCCCTGCAGGAAGACAAGGCACAGAAGCAAAACACTGTCAACAGGTGAACCTCTACAGCATGCCTCCAGGCAGTCATGACTCGTGTTCATTTAAATGACTCTAAAGAAGAAGAAACTGGTTACTAGAAGGGGTGGGTGGGTGAGTATGTGCGTGTGCACGCGCGCTTAAGACAGTCTTGCTCTGTCACTTGTCTAGAGTGCAGTGGCACGATCTTGGCTCACTGCAACCTCCACCTCCCGGATTCAAGCGATTCTCCTGCCTCAGCCTCCTGAGCAGCTGGGATTACAGGCATGTACCACCACACCCAGCTAATTTTTGTATTTTTAGTAGAGAAGGGGTTTTGTCATGTTGACCAGACTAGTGTAGAACTGCTGACCTCAAGTGATCTGCCCACCTTGGCATCCCAAAGTACTGGGATTACAGGTGTGAGCCACTTTCCCTGGACTAATTTTTGTATTTTTGGTAGAGATGGAGGTTTCACCATGTTGGCCAAGATGGTCTTGAACTCCTGACCTCAGGTGATCCACCCACCTCAGCCTTCCAAAATGCTGGGATTACAGGTGTGCATCACCCCACCTGGCCTGATTACTAGAAGTTTAAAACCTGTTATTTTTCTCACTTTCTGATACAATTCTGCTGTGATTTTTCATAATTTAACTCCTCAGAAGTCTAACAGGCTAGAAGATGATATATATCATAATGTAAGGCCTCAGAAAATGATTCTATAACGTGACAAATTAATGGAGTTCATTGAAGGGGTAGGTCAATTTGAAAAATGGGAAGCTGCTTTCATAGTAATTTTCTCTCTCAATCCAAAGGAGACACTTAACTCACTTATAGATTGGGTGAATTCATAGACCTTAATTAGATTTTATACTATCAACTGTAATTTTCTCTCTCAATCCAAGGAGACATTTAACTCACTTGTAGATTGAATGAATTCATAGACCTTAATTAAATCTTATATTATCAACTGAATTCAAACCCAAGTATGGCAAAGATGCTGTCACCTACACAGTGACTTAAAAAGAAATACTCCAGTGAACGAGTTTGTTTTTTGATAAACATTGCTGAGATGCTACTTAAGAAAAATAAAACAATTTAAATAATTTAAAAAAAGATTCCTCAATAGGATGAAGGAGATAAGAAGAAAACAAAAAAAAAAACAAGAATCGACAGGTTTTCCAATAACCCATCTAAATCTATGAGCTAAAAGATTATTGCAAGTATATAAAGAAACTTTGCTCTCAAGAGACAAACAAAACTTCTTAATGTGACAAAAAGGAAGAAAAACTGTGGGCTGGTAGGAACATACAGATTGTTTTGTGTGGGGGTAGTTACAAAATACCAGATAGAAGTAAATCTAAAAATACAATTTAAAATGTAGTTAACCAGAACATATTTTCTGCTTTTTACTATATCTTTGCAGAACAAAAGTGAAAACATGAACAAAATTCTGCTGTGATTAAAGCACAAACATGTGACACCATCTTACCTGAACTGTCTTCCCTCCCTGCGAGTATGTCTGCTCCAACCATGGTTCCTACACCCAACAGACAGACAGCCACAGCGATGAAGTGGATCACTCTGTATCTCGCATTAAGAATAAACCAGGACAGAGCCATCAACACAGGAATCCCAAAGCAATCCAAAAGCTGCATGGAAAGAGAACAGTTTAAAACCTCTCTCATTAGCTAAAATATGGGTAATTAAGAAATAATAGGACTCAGTATTCATTGAGCATTTATTATTGCCAGCCCTCTACTAAGAGCTTTACCTGCATTAACTCATTTGATCCTCACAACTCTATGAGAGTGAAATTACAATCTAATTTTATACATGAAAAAATGAAGGCATAGAGAGGTGAAATGAGTTGCCAAAATCACATAGTTAAAAATGGGATGACAGCTGGGCATGGTGGCTCATGCCTGTAAAATCTCAGTACTTTAAGAGGTTGTGGCAGGCAGATTGCCTGAGCCCAGGAGTTCAAGATCAGCCTGGGCAACATGGTGAAACTCTGTCTCTACTAAAATATATATATATACACACACACAAAATTGTTGGGTGTGGTGGTGCACGCCTGTAGTCCCAGCTACTGGGGAGACTAAGGTGAGAGGATCACTGAAGCCTGGGAGGTCAAGGCTGCAGTGAGCTGTGATGGTGCCACTGCACTCCAGCCTTCGCAACACAGAGAGACCAGGTCTCAAATAAAATAATAAAATAGGCCGGGTGCGATGGCTCACGCCTGTAATCCCAGCACTTTGGGAGGCTGGGAGTTCGAGACCAGCCTGACTAACATGGAGAAACCCCGTTTCTATTAAAAAAAAAAAAAATTAAAGAAAAAATAAAAATAAAATAATAAAATACAATGGAAGAGTCAGTTGCTGAACACAAGACTGACAAAGGCCTGTGCACTTATCTCTATGCTCCCACCTGTGTATATCTTTATTTTTTGAGAGAGATTCTCACTCTGTTGCCCAGGCTGGAATGCAGTGCTGCAATCTCAACTCACTGCAACCTCCACCTCCTGGGTTCTAGCAATTCTCCCTGCCTCAGCCTTCTGAGTAGCTGGGATTACAGGCACCTGCCACCATGCCCGGCTAATTTTTGTATTTTTTAGTAGAGATGGGATTTCATCATGTTGGCCAAGCTGGTCTTGAACACCTAACCTAAGGTGATCCACCCACCTCGGCCTCCCAAAGTGCTGGGATTATAGGTGTGAGCCACCATGCCCGGCCCTGTATGTGTCTTTAAGTCCAGTAGACAAACATCTCTTCCTTCATGCAACCATTTACTCAGTCAACAAATATTTGTTAAACACCTTGCATGTGTGAGATGCCATGAAAGAAGCTAGGAATAGAGGTGAACAGGACAGAACAGGTGTGCCCTCAGGAGCACACAAAGCTATAAAGGACGTGGAATAAATAATCACACAACCAGATATTTCAGTGGAATTGGGCTAAGTGCTACAAAGAAGCACGGGTTACTATGAGAGTGCAAACGACACCACATCCCTGCTAAAGCGTCCAGCCCCACCTTGTGAGACACACTCGTGCTCACAGCAAATTCTCTTGCTCATCTTCATCACATGCTCCTCCATCACCTGTTGATCCTGGCACTGGAAAACACTGGCTATATCCCCGATACTGCTCATCTAGAAGGCAGAGGGATTAAGCATGCCAAAATTATAGCAGGTCCAAAATTGTTGCAAGATAATAAAAAGTGCATTCGCTCAATTCCTAAATTCACAATGCGCATTCAAGGATATCCTTAATGTGCATTCAAGGATAAAATCTATTCAAGAAATTCTTGATGCATTCAAATGTTTTCAAGGAAGAAAGATATTCCTTATACTAATAATCCTCCTGAAACTGCTATTTTATTGCTCACCCTATTGTTGTTTCAAACCTTGTCCCTGATTCTCTCTATATCTGTTTAGTCTTGAAGAAGACAGGCCCCTAAATCTCCAGAGCCCATTCGATCCTGTCCACGGTTGTTTACTGATTGCCTCTCACTGCAGTAGCACCAGCGGAGTCCAATGCACCATGTGTAGGAATGGGCATCTTGCCTTGTTATGATTCCAGCTGCAGAACTCTAATCTCCTAAGTGCTTTATTGAGCCTGCCTGCATAACAAAACATTAAATGATGCAAATGATAATACCCTGTCCCCAAAGACAGCAGCAGAATCCAGCCATAATGGCTTAACAAAATCTCAACTACATTCCTTAAACAAAACAAGTAGAAAGACACTCTAAGAAATACCACAGAAGAGTCCCTTATCCTTGTGTCTTAAAATCAAACTTAAATTTGCTCTATCTTTAACAATTTTTGTTGGGCACTGAGGGAGCTGCCTATGTACATCGTGGTCAGAGCTCCAGAGACCTCAGGCCCCAGCCACACGCTGTCCAGCTAGCTGTGTGGTCCTCAGCCAGTCACTCTCCAAGTCAAAATATAAAAAGATGACACCAAATGATCTCACAGTTTCCCTCCGACCCTAACATTCCATGACGTCTCATCTGATACCTGTCACCTTCAGTCACGTGAACCTTCGTTTCAAAATGTATTCTTGGTGGCCAGGCACGGTGGCTCACGCCTGTAATACCAGCACTATGGGAAGTCAAGGCAGGAGGATCACTTGAGGTCAGGAGTTTGAGACCATCCTGGCCAACATGGCAAAACCTCATTATCTACTCAAAATACAAAAAGAAAAAAAAAAAAAAATCAGCTAGGCATGGTGACACATGCCTGTAATCACAGCTACTCATAGAAGGCTGAGGCACCAGAATCGCTTGAACCTGGGAGGCGGAGGCTGTGGTAAGCCAAGATCGTGCCACTGCACTCCAGCTGGGTAACAGAGTGAGACTCCGTCTTGGGGAAAAAAAAAAAAAAAATTAGCCAGGCATGGTGGCACATGCCTATAATCCCAGCTGCTCAGGAGGCTGAGGCAGGAGAATCACTTGAACCTGGAAGGCGGAAGTTGCGGTGAGCCAAGATTGTGCCACTGTACTCCAGCCTGGGCAACAGAGCAATACTTATTTTCTCATTTAAAAAAAAAAAAAAAAGAAAAAAGATATTCTTGATGATAGATGTCTTCTCTGATACCTTCAGTTCTAGGAGTATCAATTTATTTCTAGAAAATTATTGTACAGTCACAGTAAGCAGGGTACTAAGTAAAACCCTGGGACATGGGTATAACAGTAAGTTAGACCATATTAGAGGTACAATAGAGTTTAGAAGAGAAAATGAAAATTGAATCAGGCTTAGACAATGAGCGGAGCAGGTTTCCAAAAGGACTGCCTACTAGGAAGAACAGAGCAGCACAGGAGAGAAGGGGCGGGCCATGGGCGGGAAATGGGCTGATGTGGCAGTAAAGTGGGAAGGGACATGAGCAGAAACCTAGGCCACAGGATGGCAATGGCCACATTATGATCTTCACGTGCACTACCCCTGACTGTTGTAATTACAGAACCTTCTAAGGAATCTTTAAGAAGAAGCTTCAAAGGTCACCTAATCCAAATTTCCATCCCTTTGGACTACCCAGGCCAGAGGCTGACTCAGGTAGAGATCCAGCCTGAATCATTCCTGTGAGAACCATCTCTGCTGCTGGAGAAAACATGAATTGTTCCATGCCTTTTTTATAACATATTCCTTGCCAGGACCATAAATGCATGACTTTTGGCAACCAAATGCTTAGGTTTTTCTAAGAGGCTAGCATGAAAGAAATTGTTTTCAATTTCTTTGAAACTGAAAAAAAGGCATGAACTTCAGTCACAGATATCCAACTGTAAGTGTGAACTGTGGTTAGGCCTTGCATCAGTTCAAGACTTTTAATCATTATTAGTCAGAGATCAAAGTTCCTGAGAATTGTAATCAAGTAATTAAAAAGTATGTGAGATTATGAGAGTAGATGTGACTAGAAAATGCCATTTGCTGCATACTTACATATACTTCATTAACCAATGCTAAAAGTACACTTACTCCTATCAGTGATAAACTTCATTCTCTAGGTAACTGCTGGGTTTAATTTTTATGAAATTTTAGCTTCTTTGTGTGCCTCCTATGGTGTCTGTTTTAATAAATCATTTCCTGTCTCAGCTTTTTAACCAATACTGGTCAAAATCCAAGAGGTTTGCTGAGAACAATGCTGAGCACAATGTTACAGAAAAGAAAGTATTTAATAAAATACATTCTGGTAATAACATTTAATATAGGTTCACATTAGAAAAATACTGAGTTCTCATCAATCTTTTTTTTTTTTTTTTTTTTTTTTTTTTTAAGACGGGGTTTCACCATATTGGTCAGGCTATTCTCAAACTCCTGACCTCAGGTGATCGTCCTGCCTCAGCCTCCCAAAGTGCTGGGATTACAGGCATGAGCCACCGTGCCTGGCTAATCCTTAACTTTTCTATGCGAAATAAGTCTAATTTCAATTTTTCCAGGCCCTAAAATTTAGAGTCAAATAAGAACATCTCTGTATGTTGTATAATGAGAAAGGGATACATCAAAAAGTTATAAACTTCAAATCCCACTTCTGAATAGAAACATATTTTTATTACTTAAAAAAAATGAAAAATAGGCCAGGCGCGGTGGCTCACGCCTGTAATCCCAGCACTTTGGGAGGCCGAGGCGGGTGGATCACGTGAGGTCATGAGTTAAAAGCCACCTTGACCGAGGTGAAACCCCGTTTCTATTAAAAAAAAAAAAAATTAAAGAAAAAATAAAAATAAAATAATAAAATACAATGGAAGAGTCAGTTGCTGAACACAAGACTGACAAAGGCCTGTGCACTTATCTCTATGCTCCCACCTGTGTATATCTTTATTTTTTGAGAGAGATTCTCACTCTGTTGCCCAGGCTGGAATGCAGTGCTGCAATCTCAACTCACTGCAACCTCCACCTCCTGGGTTCTAGCAATTCTCCCTGCCTCAGCCTTCTGAGTAGCTGGGATTACAGGCACCTGCCACCATGCCCGGCTAATTTTTGTATTTTTAAGTAGAGACGGCAATTCACCATGTTGCTCAGGCTGGTCTCGAACCCCTGACCTCATGATCCGCTCACCTCACCCTTCCAAAGTGCTGGGATTACAGGCATGAGCCACCGTGCCTGGCTAATCCTTAACTTTTCTATGCGAAATAAGTCTAATTTCAATTTTTCCAGGCCCTAAAATTTAGAGTCAAATAAGAACATCTCTGTATGTTGTATAATGAGAAAGGGATACATCAAAAAGTTATAAACTTCAAATCCCACTTCTGAATAGAAACATATTTTTATTACTTAAAAAAAATGAAAAATAGGCCAGGCGCGGTGGCTCACGCCTGTAATCCCAGCACTTTGGGAGGCCGAGGCGGGAGGATCACCAGAGCAAAAGAGCGAGACAACACCCGGAAAAACAGGGAAAAACCCCATCTACAAAAAAAACAAAAAATTAGCTGGGCATGGTGGCACGTGCCTGTAATCCCAGCTACTCAGGAGGCTGAGGCAGGAGAATTGCCTGAACCCAGGAGGTGGAGGTTGCAGTGAGCCGAGATCACGCCATTGCACTCCAGCTGGGTAACAAGAGCGAAACTCTGTCTCAAAAAAAAAAAAAAAAAAAAGAAAAAGAAGTTATAAACTTACTAAACTGTGACATCTAAATCTGGCATTGGAGTCTATCTCGCTTTCACTTCCATTTATAAAACATTTTGTAGTTAGTAATGGTGAGTCAGTGTTACGAGACACATCCCATAGTTTGCTCACATTAAGACAACTGAAATCAGTTGTATTCAACTTTACAAAGTTGAAAAGCACTGCAATGTAAGAACATTTTTTTTTTCAATGTAGCAAGAATAAACCTAACAAAGAAATAGGGATGGGAGTTTTAACTCTGGCTACCACCTCTCCCCAAAATGTCTAATAGGTTTCTTCCAGTGGTTCCTTTGTCATGAATATCTACTATGCTTGCAAAGCTCCAACTTTCCTATAGAACAAAGGTATGTCCACATTCATATGCCATGCTTGAGCAGCATATAAAACAGAACACATGTCAATACCACAGCATCAACTGCCAACTAAATATTAATGCATATTTTGGTAGGAACTGTTCTAATCTGCCATTGCATTAGCAGTTTGGGGGCTGCTTAGCTTGTATACATTTTCACTAATTCTACGAAACATTACTCCTTAGAGCATATGCTTCACTAGAAAACAGCATCCACCTGTGTTTAGGTTTTCTTCAAGTGAACAGGCTTTCGATAAAATGAGGTCAACACATATGACTTCGTGTTCTCCTTTTGAAGGTATAAAGTCCAAAGTGGTCAGAGGGCTGCCTCTTACCTGGACACTGGTTAGAGTTGTGTACTGGTAGGCTCTGACAATCACGTAATTAGCTTCCACATCTGCTAGCCCCAGCAGGATGTACTTCCACCATTTTCTTTTCAAGATTACTAAAAGGTTATCACTGCCTGGTTGAAAGAAATCTGGGTTAGTACATGTTACTCGCAAATACCATACATGTTGATTTGAATATCAAAGAGTAGAAGCAAGAGTTTCTTGTGTCTTTCCCTCTTTTTTTCATTCATTCCTTCGTTCTTTCCTCTTTT